CTCTGCTTTTAGGAATGGTTCACTATTCACTCTGAGATTTGCAAGGATAATGTTACGTGCATTATGAATAAAATTAATTATTATTACCTTAACATTTTCAAACTTGATATCAATACTATGAAAAAGACATGATACTACAGTGAAGATAAAATAGAATGTCATTTTCAAGAGAAAATCACTTTTTATGTGGTTGTGGAAAAGAATAGGGTTTTCTGTCTATTCACCTTTGTTTATATATTTGTTGGAACTTTTATTTATGTAATTTTTGTGTTAAATTAGACCTAATAAAATGAAGTGACATTGGCAATAAATACATAAATATATATTATGATAAAGACTGCATTTTAAAACATTTTAGGACAGGCCCAAGTTTGTCCCATTTTGTTGTTTCAACTGAGTATATAGTTTCAATTTTTGTTTTATAGATTAGTATCAGCACGAGGCATAGAACTCAGAAGTTCTCCTGCCCATTTCTAAAGCATCTGCAGCCTCTCTGGTCTCACTGTAATAATTTCTGTACTTATAATTTCTTCCTTTTTTAAAAACATTTTAATATTATTTTATCTTATACACCTATAGCAGACTTTATATTCATTTCATCTACAATTGCTTACACAAGAAAACATAGTGTGTTAGGGGAGACTATGGTGAATAAAAACAAATTATACCTAATGCTTGTTGTATTGTCATAAATATACAAAAATAACCATGTTTAATATTGAATCAATCCCTTTTATCAGCAGAGTCAGTAAGTGACATTTTACTTCAAAGATCATATTAAATAAAATGATTCAAATATGGATTGCCTATGCCATCACTCTCTGTATAATCCATATTGTTATGCTGCATCTGTTGTTAAAATTACTTCCTTTCTTGTTTATTTTCTCCAACAAGTTATATTTGCAGTATCTGTTATTTTAAGATTAACTGAGAAATGCGTGAGACTTCTATGTCCAAAAGTATTATGAAAAATACAAAATAAAACATAATTCCTCCTCTACAGCAAAGGGTGGCTACCATTCGTGACAGGTGGGAATGTCTTGGAGGGACACAAGTGCGCTCTTTATTACTTTTATTTACAGAGGTCACTGACAGAGAGATCCGAGCCGGTATTTACAAAAGCCCCATGGAAATATAATTACTCGACAAAGACTTAGAGGAGAGTTGCCATTTCAGCATTCTGGTCTGCAGTGGCTACCTCTGTTGCTGCAGAAATGCTTTGTGGGCTTTGTGTAAGCCACCCTGTGCCAGATTTGTTAGGCTCCTGTTTTTCTGTTGTGAAGGCCAGTGTCATTATCAATTACAATTATTCCGAGTAGCTTTCAGGAAGTAATTTGAATTTGCCTGAGAAAAAGTTCTTAAATGTTGATTATATAAGTGTTTAAGTATTTTTAAATCAAATCAAAATTAATTCATAATACATGGCTGAGAATGTAGCCTCAACTTTTGACTATATGTTCTTATTATGTCCTGTACAGTTTTTCTTTTGTATCAGTTGAGTTCTGATAAATCTTGTTCACCAAACAGCCTAAAATAAGCTATACAAAATAATGAAACCCCAGGCAAGAACAGACTCCAAGCCATTTCTTCTCGAAGTTTTATTGCTCTGCTGTGTACAGATTCTGTGTCCCAATTATTGCTATTGCTGTACAAATATATACTGGCATCTATAAAACCCTATGTCCATTTGCTGAACTACTGAGCAATCAAAAGAGCTCATTTAGTTTTGGTGCATTCAAGTATCATCTGAACATATTTGATCATAAACAAATGCAATGCTGTTTGCTTGTTTAATTAGCTCTGAAAAATAAAAGACTTGTCAAGACATCTTGAAAGGATGCTCATCTTTTTGGTCATAACCTCCAGTGCTTGAAACTCATGTCTTTCATCTCAGATGAAAAAACAGTGACAAGCGCATGTCTGACATGAAAGTAAAGTAAATCTCATTTCCCTGAAACCCATGCATCTGCACTGAAGGGACTGTTGACTTGGACACATTCCGTGTGCACTGTATTAGACAGATGGTTTATGTGTTTTTGGCTGAGAGATGTGCAGAGGTGTAGGACAGTGTGTATCTGGGGGACTATGGAGGTGCAGACTGGGAATCGTTGGAATGAGTGTGAAGCCTCGCGGCGTAGATCATGAACTGTCTGTTACACTGGCTGAGTGGCTCGCCAGAGGACCTTTGGGTGACACTCAGTTTGCAGAGTCAACTGTTCTTCTCACTGGTCATGGGTGACTGACTGTCACAAATCAGTCTAGCAATCAAAGGTAAAAAGAGAACATTGAAGCAAATGATGCCAGAAAACAGTACATGGAACAAACACCCCTCTAAATCATCCACGGTCTCTCCCCTCCCATTTTTAAACATCATTACTTGGCCTGTCTTGTGTCTGTGTCACTTTGTAGACACTAGGCTGCTCTCAGTGGAGTAACTAAAGGGAGACTGAGCCTAATCAAGGCATGACAGGCTGGCTGTTCTCACAGCTCCAAACACTTTTGTTTGTGCAGTACTTAAACCTTTTGAAACTTAAAACCTTGCCTACCCACATGAGAATATGCCCCAAGAGCCCGGCTGACCTTTTGTGCATAATTTAAAGTAGCATGCTCATATGCTACTGCTGGTGTCGCCTTGTGCTACTACTGTGCTCCAGCAAAAGGCTTTGATGAGCTACCAAAAAGACGACATCTCGGTCCGTAGAGTAAACTTTATGGGGACATGCCTGGCCACTGGAGGGATCACAGTCGACACAAATCTAATTCCTCTTATAGCAGGGGGTTACAGCGTGGTTGAGGAGATGACGTGTAGTGTTAGCTTAGTTTTGGATAGTTGATCATTTTACAATAGTGCTGCGCGGTTTTGGATTACAATTGAATTGCAATAGTGATTAAATTTGCGATGAATGTCGAAAAAGTAAGATTTTGTTCACAGTGCACATTGTAAACAACTCCAGGAGCATTAACATTTGAAAGAAGACTGACATGAACTGATAAACCAGTTCAAGAATATCATGAATTTCATGAATGGATTTGTTTCTAGAGGTTTAAACTCTGATTTACAAATACAGGATATTTTGTTTTTTTGGACATTCTATTATCTCACATTTCTAAGTAAATGCAGCCTTTATGATTTGAAAATAGCAGCAACTCAAATTGCTCTATAGATTGCGGTATGTTGTGCAGCACTATTTTACAAGTCAATAAAGGAACAGAATTGTAATCAAGGAGGTTCCAGAGTCTGACGTCCGCACTAATCCTGTACATATATCTGCCAATTGTAACAAATGTGTACAATTTCTGGAGAGGGACGAGATGCGACTAAGATGTCCTATGGCATTGTAAACAAGTGCGAGGAGTTACAGGAGTCTTCTGCGCTGATTGCATCTCAACCCATTGGGGAAACAAAATAGTATCCAGCCACTCACAGGGAACAGGGCCAAATAAGTTGAAGAGGCCTAGAACAGTTTTTACAATTTTCATTATCTCTGCATCCTACCAGCTCCAGCGCCATTTTTTGGGGGGAAGTTTCCCTCGGGCCAGTGCTATCTTGCTGTGCGACATCCTGGATTCATTGGAAGGTTTTGATGCTAGACGTGAAACCAAGTAGATATCATTTGGGGGAGAGAAAGATTCTGATACTCTAGTCTTAGAGCTGAGCCAAGAGACTAATCAAAGTGTACTGGCTGTCTATGGAGCTAGCGGAAAATAGGTTGTAATAAACACTGACACACCAGGGCCCCTATCCATACTCCACCAAATATATATGTTATGTGGATTACTCATTTTACTCATATGGTCCATACTTAGAACGTTGTTTGAAGTATCTAAATGCTAAGGATTAAGGATGATGAGTGCAGAACAAATTTAGCCCTGGGATTTTTTGGTCTGTCTTAATTGGTCTTAATTTACGGAATTATTGTGATAGCTAGTTATACAATGACAGCCAAGAAGCAGCTAATTCTTGTAAGTGAAGTTACAGTTGATGATACGTTGAACTGCAATGCGTGAGACTGAACGTGCGATACAATACTTCAAGATAGGGACGCGTGATGTAGATAAAAATGATTATGTCAATTTTTTTTTTTTATTATCTTCATAATATTTAGACTATATTTTCACAACGCATGAGGAATGTGTTGAAACAAGTCTGCAAATGTTTTAAGTCTAGCACAAAACATGAATAGACCATCAAATTAACCAGAATAGGACAGAAATATCACTTGATGGCATTGTTTGGAAGATTACCCTAGACGTTTCGTTCATTTTATTTGTAATTTTTATTGTTTTAATTATGCAAGATTATGTCTATCATCTATATCAGCAAAACTGCAATTGCGATATTATCCATTGTTTAGTATACTTCCCACCTCTATTTTAGAACAATTACAGTTTTGTGAGAACCATATCACTGCATTTGCATAATGTTTTGTGTTTCTTCACTACCACTTTGAAACTAGCCTTTTTATCTAACACCCCTTTACTGCTATGATTGCTATGTAGTATTTTCTGAAAATAGACTAATAACAGCATCAATATATGTTAATTTTATGTCTTCATACCACCTATATATATATTTTTTATAATATACACATTTTTAATTCAGTGAAATAATGCTATAGTATATTTATTTTATTTATTTAGTATTTTTTACATGCCCAAATACTTTTCGTCAGCCTAAAACTTATAACAGGTGAAAGTCTCTCTACTTTTGTCAGCTGTTTAACATTGAAACTTTTAACACCACTCACTCGGTTGAACTCGATTGTGAATAGCACCCGAGCCTGAATGGGGACGTGCCTATCTTTAACTATCTTTAAAGAGAGGAAGTCATGTGTGGCGGGAGTTCACGGGTGATGTTTCAGGGCGGGGGAGGCGGGGAAGGCGGGGGACGGAGGTGAGTCTTTGAGAAAGGGATAAGTGTGTGCTTTTGAAGATGAAGCCTGTGGATTAGTGTTATCTGACCTGCTTCTTTTGCCTTTCCCCTGTCTCTATGCGTCTAGGTAGAGCGCGTGGAGAGGCAGCCGGCCCCGAAACACACCCATAAGCTCAGATTCACGCGAGAACCAACGCAAATCCATCCGGAGGGAGAGAGCGGAGCGTCGGTTACCCAGCATGCACGCAGTATGGAACGGGTGAGGGAGCAGCGGCCTTTCTGCTCGCTGTCAAAGAACCAGAGAGAGGAGAGGGAGAGAGCCGGTGAGAGGGAGCAGGAGAGGGAGAGGCGCTACACCACCTCCTCGGCCGACCGGGGGGAGGCTTCAGAGGGGCCTTGTCGCGTCCCCACCCAGAAGTCCTACAGCTCCAGCGAGACCCTCCAGGCCTTCGACCATGACCCCACGCGTATGCTATTTGGAGGCAGAGCCAAAGAGATGGTCCACAAGGAGAACGCGGAATACAGCCGACCAGGTGAGCAGGAGCAAATATTCACTCTGTAGGAGATGTAAGTGAGGGTACAACTGCTGTAAATATCTGAATAAATGTAATATAATAAAATATAATCAAGCATTCCATTATCTGTCTAGCCTGCTCAACTGCTGCTGGGTTTAATTTTACAATACAATATTCAATCTCTTGGAATTATTACTTTTTTTTTTTTCCTTTTTCACCTCCTAGAATACCCTGCAGACAGAAAAAAACTGCTTCAAAAATGCCCTAAGGACAGTATTTCAAGTGACATTTTGTGGTATTTTAAAACAAAATTAAGTGTATAATATTTTTTGAAAGCTCATTTTAAAATCATTGCTGCCAATTAATAATAATATTGCTTTTAAAATTATAATTAGAATTATAATAAGTTATTAGCAAGTCATGAGCCGGGTCTCTTATTTACATAGCTCTCAAAATAATTTACTTTTTATATTATTTTACTGAAGCATACGTATGATTATGGCACTTGATTAAACAAAAAATAATAATAATACAAATATAGAAAGTTATATATACTGTATCCGTAATAATTCGATTAAAATGCATCTATAATTGTAGCTTTGTTTCATGGTTACATCGAAATGACTAAAATTGTCTACTGTCTGCCTACTGTTGTTGATTTTGACAGCCCAGTTTCATTTGGAATTAAATCCCCCCCACCCCCTCATAGCCATGTTTGTTTCCTGAAAAATACCACTCTCGTACATCCCCAAGTCAATAAACATGAAAGCCAGGATTTTCTTGCTGGTGTTCACTAAATGTTAGCATTTCCCACTTTTAGCCTTTCCCTATTTACACATGAAATATCTGCAGTCAGAGCACAGATTTGATTATTTTTTACAAATTGACTAAACAGGCAAGTTATATTCATACAGCATAACTAGACTCTTACAAAAATTGATAAATTATATATTTTGTTCAGTTTAATGATAGTCGAGTGGCACGCAATTAAACAAATCTGCGCTCCTTAATGTGCTCTTAAACCTAATTGGGGTCTCTTTACTATGAATGTAGCATTGTGGTGAAGTCAGAAATATTTAATTTATTTTAAATTCTGCATGCTATAGTGTACAGATAATCTATGTAATTATGATATTTTTGTGGCTCAGTGAGTTGAAGTGCATATGCATAGAATCTCAAGGAAGCACCTTTCTTTTTAAAATTGTTGACAAGAATGCTCATCGAACCATAATAATGTTAATATTTTAATTTAACATTGTATTAACAAATGTATTCTCTTATGTTTTATTTTTGTTTTGCACTGTCAACTTTCACACAAGCTTAACTTTTTGTATCCAAGCTGAGATGTTAAGAAATTAGATAAAAGATACTCATCAAATAGTTCCCCATATTTAGTTAGTCTATTTTAATTTCTCTTTGAACATGGTCCCTGACAAATAAAGAATAAACTAAACTAAATGAATAGAGAAACGTAAATATGTGTTTTAGGGACCCTTTTTTGATGTTTGCTTATAAAATATAGGTTTAATTTGTAACATCTTAAGTTTACATTGAGGTTCGTCACTTGGAATCCATCAGGCTCTCAGTGTCACCTGGACCAGCTGGCTGACAGTAATATGTGCCTCCATGTTTTTGAATGACACGTCGGAGGAAAAGGAGCCCAATATTTTGTTGTTGTTTGGTGTGCTACTTAATGTGACAGACAGGGCTTACTTTTGTTGGCCAACTGCCCGAGTGTGTTTACTCTGCTATGATACCATCGTGTGAAGCCTGGCGCACTATTCTTATTCCATTTCCATAGAGAAATCCTAAAAGGCAGGAGACTTTTGATTTTTCTTTTGTGTATAAACAGTTGAACAAACTGAAAGTACATGGATTGTATTACATGATATTTAGTTAATGTGATGCCCAGTGGAAAATGTGTTCTCATTTATCTTGAATTTTAAGCTCTTGGTTAATGGTCAGTCGACAGTTTTATCTCTTAGTGCTGCAACAAACTATATTTTCAGTAGTCAAGTCAATAATTACTAGAGAAGTCAAGAATTATTTCTATTGTACATTTAAACCTATTAAATTTGGAAATCTACTGACTAAAAGCTTCTACAAATATTACATTTCAAGAGTATTATCAAAATAGTTTATTCTATTTTTGAACATTTTATGCCAGTTTAATAATGACACCATCTTTGTTATAGTTTTTTTCTTTCGGCGTGTGTTTTAGAGTCTGTGTAGATGACGACTAATCACAACCATTCTGATAAATTGGCACAGCCCTACTATCTCACTTGTGTTTAGGAATAGCTGTAGATGTAATTTACCTCTTATCTATCCGATATTTCTCTTTCTTGTTGTGTTCCCTTAGAAACAAACCTAATTTGACTTTAATGGTGGTGGTTTTTAGCATCTTGATCAGTTGTGTGGCGCTAAGTAGATTGGGAGGATGCTGTTAAGACTCCCCAATTACCCCCTCCCTCCCTCTGCTGCTCTTAGGTTAAGTGTTTTTTGAAGTGCCCCCCGCTCTCCACCATTAAGCACGCTGTTGCTCGCTTTGTTAACTTTACAACTGGTGTCATTGACAGGGCAGACCTTCTCTCTGAGGCAGCTTGGGTTCTGCGAGCGCTCGGCCGCAGCTCGGAGGGGCCTGGCTCTATGCCCCGAGACCGGATTGTCCCACCCCCTCGGCAACTACAGGGAGAACCATGAGCCCGTGTCCCCTGAACGCACCATGGCTCTGTGGGGATCGGGGCCAAAGTCCGGTCAGAACTCGTCATGCCTGTCCAGCCGCTCCAACTCGGCGCTCACGCTCACCGATACCGAAATGGACAATAAATCGGACAATGAAATGGGTGAGTGCTGCATGCTCTTTTCTTTATTTTTTGAGGATTTAAAAGACTTATGTGAGCAAGTTCTTTTGCAAAAACAAATAAGTGACATTTTAAAAAGTCATTTGGGGCTTGCAGTTTACGCTCGGGGTGGGCGCACACTTACACAATCACCAGATCATTATTGGGACTAAACTGGGATTAAACCAGAAACTAGACTTGCACTAAACAAGGATTAGAAACTGACCAAATTAGGGATGGGCATGATTAGTCGACTAAATGATAACTGATCTTTCAGAATTTCGTTGATCATGTTAATTTTTAATCAATAAACCGAATGTAGGTTGCTGTGCGTAGCGTAAGGAGACGAGGCTGTGTCTGACAGGCGCAAACACTGGAGTTGCTTCCTCACAGTCCCACGTTTCGGCTCTGGAACCGCCTTGGAGATCACTGTACCACTCAATGAGTGTGTTTACATGCACATCAGTATCCTGGTTATGATCGGGTTTTTTGAGTATCCCGGTTTCGTCATGGTGCATGTATACGCAGTACTTCCGATGCACATTCATCCAAAAGACAAACATGTTTTAGTCTTTTCATCACAACAGTAGCCAAAATAAATAAAGTGACCAAAATAAATAAAGTGAGTGAAATGATGTTAAATAAAGAGCTGCGCTAAACCAGCACATGTCTGATCTCTGGAAACATGAACCATCTCCAATTCAACATACGCACAGAACAGACTCACCATCTTCATCATCAACATTCCTCTGTCACAGAAAGAACACTCATATTCCATTGAGTTGTGTCCTTTAGTCTGACAGAAGCTGACCGCATCAGTGCACAAGGAAAGAGCTGTTTTTTTTTCAGCACTTAGTTTTAGTTTCTGTAAAACATAAACTAATGTGCGCAAAGCTGCATTAAACACATTATAATCTGAAACGGGCTGATGTGGCTCTATAGTGGTTTTTGTTTATATGTTGTTAAAGTTTAGTTTATTTATGCAGATTAGTAATAGTAATAATAAAACGTTAACGATTAATCAAAATGAATCATTAAGTCTCCCAACGATGGATTATCAAAATTTAATCGATTGCCCATCCCTAAGTCAACTCTACATCTACTCAGACTGGGTCCCAACCATTACCATACCAGGACAAAAGTAGTAATATTCTCAAAAAGCATATATATTTTACTGTAATCAAAATGTCATTCCATCCTTCCTTGATAAAATCACTAGATGTTATTTTCATGGGTCATATCTGTAGAACATGGTAACAAACAAAAAAATCTAAATGGAAATGCATATCTGTTTTTGCAAATGAACTCTCCATGTATGAAGAGTACAATAGCATAATTTGTAATAATAAATTATGCTAACCATTTATGTTACTGATAGGCAAACGGCTTACTGTAAAACCATTTTAGTGTTTTGACCTTTGAGAAAATAGAATTCTAAGTACGGACGTTTTTTGCCTCTCCTGTAAAATGACTGGACCGTCTTGAAGATTCTTAGCGCTTGTGCCATTTTTCTTTCTTGAAAAACCTCCCCTGCTTGGATTTCCCCAGCAGCAGTTTGGATCATGCCAAGCGTTGGAAACAAGAATGTGATTGGGTGACAGGAGTGGCAGCACGTTTGGTATACCCAGAGAAGCGCTTGCATCTGGATCAAAGACATGCTTTCTTGACTGCAATGAAATTTGGCCTTGCGATGGAATAGTCAGTCCCTTCTTCTCTCTGGCCGTTCCGTAGGTAGTGAGAGCAGTTTGATAAAGTTTCCCCATGGGCCGGCGTATAATCAAAGATAGCTTTGTGCGCTTCATGGTGAGATTTGGCTCAGAGTGTCTGCAGTGGTTGACTGGGCATGCACAATAGCTGATTAAAAGGATACAATGTTTTGAAGTGCAAATTTGATCATGCTGGAACCTGAGATGGAGGATTGAGGTTCTCTGTTTGAAGAGGGAAAAAGGCTTTGTTGTGTCAAATGGAGGCAGTACATACAAGATGGTTGCATGTCAGGTTTTCTTGTGTTATTTTAAAGACGACATGCTTTTTCAAGGTACTTAGCGTTATGATAAGAATAAGTAGTAAACTGAACTATAACAAAAATATATATCAACATTTTAATATTTTTTCATTGTAAACAGTAAATTTATCTAAAGTTGCTTAATAGAAGCAGATGCGGGTATCCTCCTCCTCTTATATTATATATTAATGTGTGATTTTAGAACCCTACATGTAAGACTCATAATTCTAAATAATACAGAAAAAAAATACAGAAATGTTGCATGGCACTCAAGGCTTAAATGCCAGAGAACATAAAATTACTCTACTTACATGCATGAGTCAACCAATTATAACTCTTAGTAAGTGAACAAGGACAGAACAGTGCTATAACATGGTTCAAACTCATCAAAATTGATTTTTCGTATCCTTTAAGATGTAGTGGTGTGTATTGGAGCTAAACAGTTGTGTGAAAAAATATAATTGAATTCAGTTTAACATTGACATTTTGAACATGCCTTGGAGCATCTCATGAAAAAATGACATTTTTTTTATTGCAAGCCTGATGTAACACGAGAATTACATGCAATTGAGATTTCAAAAAGTCTTGATACAGCTGATACAAATTAAAATTGGAACAAATTTCCAGTCTTCAAAATGCACTTTTGTTAACAATTTAATAGTCACAATTGTCTGATACTTAAACCTGAACTAATGCATTTAAAGACACATATTGACACATTTTGGATTGCCAAAACATCTGATTATTGTTTTTGGGATACAGCTGACCCTGAACCAAATCACTTCATACACACACTAGATCTTAAAATAACTAGTGGTACACAAAAGAGAATTTTCAGAATTTAAATATAGAAGAAATGCAATAAACATGCAAAAGCATACTTACTGATAATTCATTTCTGTTGAAATATGTGGATTTTTAGTTTGATGGGCTAATCAAAACTTTTCTTGACATGCTGATACGATATCTATTTAAACTATTTTCAGACTTGTATAATTTGATTCTTGGTAGAAGTTGCTGACAGTCCGGATAAACTAAGTGAACCATGTCCATAACACATTCAGTGTAAATGATTTTAAGAAAAGTGATGATGGGAGAGAGTGACAGGCAGTTAAAATAATGAGGCTTGATTACACTTTCCCGGCAAGAACATTAAAGCCAGTAAAAAGGGAAATGTCTTGTGTTCATGTGCTATCAGTTCATATTCCAACAACATTGGCTCTAGCCTGACATTTGAGACAAGTCATTTTCTTAATGGCAGTATTCATCATATGAGCTTGTCTCCGCCGGGCAAGAGCTGAGTAAGTCTTTTACCTTTTCAAATGCGTTACTTTTCAAACATGTGTGTTAAAATATTTTTGTGGCAAAAAACAACTAAAATGCTACAAAAAACAAACAAAAAAAACAAAATTTGATACTAAAACTAAAAGATACAATTTTGACCAGCAACATTTACCATTACTAAATGAACAAATGAGAATGAATTCAACGTGTTGGCATTTTATTTCTTTTAATACTATGAACTTTTTGGGTGTCTCCGTTTTTTTTTTTTTTTTTTTTACTTTTTTTAAAATCTGAAACTGATCCCTGCACTGAAAAGCACCATAAGTATATATATGTATACATTCAAGTAGCATTCCTACCTGCTAAAATTCTAAAAGTTAATTATATTCAATAATCAATTGTCAACCCAGAATTAAAATATATGCTATTTCAAACTGCAGCATAAGTATGTATGCATATATGCATGTGTGTATGTGTATGTATATATAGTGGTCATTGTCATATAGTACACTTCTGTTGAAACCTCATAATGTTGATGTTGAAGTGAAAATCCTTACTAAAGAGATGTATTGATACTTAGCAGTAATGTGATACAAAAAAGGAAGAGTACATCTTGTGAGCATGTGGAGCCTGCACTGTTGTATCCCTGTATTGAGCTGTGATTTTACCTGGCCTCTTGAGTCAGCTGTGTGTGTGTGTGTATTTACAAACACATGTCCGGGCGGTAAGCGAGCCCTCCGACTTCGGCCCTCTGGACTCTCTCTGCTCCACATCTCACCGAGCCACTGCTGCTGATTGGTTCTTGTTAGTGCAGCACCCCACCGAGACTTTATCCATGCTCACGATTGTCTCAATTAGTCTCAGTACAACCGGATAAACAACACCTGCTGGACCCTTAGACCAAATGTGATGTTTTACAGATAATAATAAAAGGCTCCCATTTCCAAATATCAGCTCGGATGGCTCTGAGTGTTTATGGCATTTTAATATACTGGACGCTTCCCCAGAGTGTTGAATGTTAAGTCATTTGAAATGTTGAGTCTAGAAAACCCCAAAGTAATCACGTTTGTACATTAGTTACTAAATCTATGTGACAAGCAGTTTAGCAGGGGGTGACACGGTGGGATACTGCAGCCACTGCTGCAGACGGTTGCAGGTTCGATTCTCGGACTGCGTATTGTCTTTTCATGTAGAGTCTGCATGTTTCCTCCCAACCACTGAAACATTTGCAATACATTTCTGGAACCAGTACATCTACTGAAATGAGCTTTCGGTTGTATTTACAGGTAGATTACATTATTAAAATGAATGTGTGGTTTATGTAATATTGCCCTCAAAATGGAAAGAATTATAACACATCTGTTGTATCCTAAGCTATTTAAAAATGTATTACAGTCCGTAAACACATTTTCTGTAACTAAAACATTTTCTTCTAGACATTGAGCAAAGAAAATCTGTGTCATTGTTCCGTCTTTATAGATCCTGGCCCGTATGTCAGGAAGCTCTGCACTTTTGACTTTCACTATTTAATGAAGCAGCTAAGAGAAATGACCCATCCCGAGGTTTCCATCAACTGAATATGCATGCAGGAGCTGCGACAAGGGGCCGTTCAGCCCCACTTATTCATAAATGAACTCAATATTTCATTCTAATTTGCTCTCTTCTACAGAGTGTTCGACAAAGGCTCGCTACATTCACCGAGCAAAGCATCTGC